GCATTTGCAGAGGGAGGGTCGGCGTGGAAAAAAAATATAAATGAACTTCTTTCTTTCGTCCTCCCGCTAGGTTTGTTTTCCCTAGCAGTGGTGGTGGATTTATAGGCAACATTACTCCAAGGGGGTTAACACGCAGCTATGCACTGAAACTTAAAAAAACAAAACAAAAGCCATACTCACAATTGTCTCTTGTCTGTCTGTCTGTGCCTGCCACTTTGGGGTGTATGTAGGTTGTGTTTATTTCTCTGCATACTTTCGTCCTCCCGCTAGGTTTGTTTTCCCTAGCAGTGGTGGTGGATTTATAGGCAACATTACTCCAAGGGGGTTAACACGCAGCTATGCACTGAAACTTAAAAAAACAAAACAAAAGCCATACTCACAATTGTCTCTTGTCTGTCTGTCTGTGCCTGCCACTTTGGGGTGTATGTAGGTTGTGTTTATTTCTCTGCATACACAAATGGAAATGATACAAACACAGAGAGAAGTGTGTATCTATACACAGAATAGGGACACACTTCAGATACACAACCAGACAAAGTCGTGCAAACACCCTTTCCATCGCCAGAAAACTCGTAGTTGTTGCTTTTAAAGAATTCCTAGGTTTCTGGAAACTTTTAATGCATCAAACAGTTTCGGGATTTATTTATTTTTATTGCTATATTAATTGTTTTTATGAGCATCATCCTGATAGTGATTTTCATGCTGAGGTGGTGACAGGAGAGGGCAATGACACAAGACTGATTTCTAGCAGAGGACGGAAGAAGGAACATGCCTTTTTCTCGGCCTCTGTCTGCCCTAACTAGCTGAAAAGTATAACCCGGGGGATTAGCTAGCCCAGAGAATCACTAGACTAGATCCAAGCGTTTGGGTTCGGGGGAAAAATGCGACTGCTTCCCCCACCCTCCGCATTGCCTTTGAAGGCCCTGTCCCTGGTCTTCCTCCTTCTTCCCAGGACTGAGGCTGAAGGGGAGATATTTTGGTGAATGCAAAGTGATCCTAGACACTGGTTACTACAGGGATTTCACCAGGCTGGCGCCAAGAGCTCTTAACCATGTGCGTCAAAAATGCAACGTTAGACGGGCTAATCACTTTAGATGTTCCGCTGCTATCTACATGCATTTACGCCACAATGCACGGCCGGCTGTCTCCCGCTCTTTGCTTTACTCACAGCATATATTTCCCTTTCTTTAAGCGGCGGAGGTTGGAGGAGAGGGGGGCCGAAGAGAGAGGTCCTTCCATAAAAATGTGTTTTTCTCCACCCCAGCTTTTACATTTGTATGATTTCCCTGGCTGCTCACTACCCCTCTCGTCCCACTCACGCAAGCCCCATTACCCCTTCCCACGGACACACTCAAACTCCACTCCCCATATTTTCTGCTCTGCCTCTCTCTCACACAAGCTCCATCCGCATGATATGACTTGCAGAGATACACTGGCATTCCCAAATGAACACAAGCTGCTAATTCACATTTGTATGATTTCCCTGGCTGCTCACTACCCCTCTCGTCCCACTCACGCAAGCCCCATTACCCCTTCCCACGGACACACTCAAACTCCACTCCCCATATTTTCTGCTCTGCCTCTCTCTCACACAAGCTCCATCCGCATGATATGACTTGCAGAGATACACTGGCATTCCCAAATGAACACAAGCTGCTAATTCAGAGCCGCTCTGATCTTCCTAAAGCAACACCGAAGGGGTGGGAGGACACAGAAGAGATACCGAGTATCCCTGTGGCACCTTGTTATCTGGGGCCCGGTCCCGCATTCCTTAACTACCCATTGAAGTCAGCAGGAGTTTGGGGTGCTACGGGGAAGGCCTGAATGGGCTTTATTTAAGGATACCCCTCCCCAAACACCATTAAATCCCCCCACCGCCACCCATACACACACCGAAGGGGTGGGAGGACACAGAAGAGATACCGAGTATCCCTGTGGCACCTTGTTATCTGGGGCCCGGTCCCGCATTCCTTAACTACCCATTGAAGTCAGCAGGAGTTTGGGGTGCTACGGGGAAGGCCTGAATGGGCTTTATTTAAGGATACCCCTCCCCAAACACCATTAAATCCCCCCACCGCCACCCATACACACACACCCCAACAGCACGGAGAATTGCACTGCACTTCCCGTCTTCTCCTTGCGCACCCATCTGGAGGAAGAGTGGTAGGAAGCACTGGGCTGCAAAATAACCCCTTCGGCGCCGGCATGCACTGCTAGCCATGGCTTTAAAAAATGACACCCCCATCTTCTCAAGAAGCCACTGGGACGAAGACTCAGCCACATCAGAGGCCAGAGAGCAAGATTTCAGAGTTTGCTTTAGAAGAAGGGGGGGGGGAGGGATCAGTTCTGATTCCTGTGCAGATAAAGGAGGGGTGAAGAAAAGAGCAGGCAGCGAAAAAAAAAATCAGTCCTGATTCCTGTGCAGATAAAGGTGGGGTGAAGAAAAGAGCAGGCAGCGAAACTACACATCATAAAGGCGATCCCTGAGCCAGATATCCTCCACTCCCACCCCTGCTGCAAGACTTGGCGATAGAAGGATAAAAAGATTAGAACAAGAACCAGGCCTTGGGACACTTTCGCCTTCAGAATCAGGCGTTAGCTCAGACCCCATACCAGGCGGGTCCCCCCGCCCTCCCCGTGTCCTGTTGTTCTCACACACGTGTAACATCGTCTGTCTCTCGAGATAATGCATCTAGAACATGCATCTCTAACCTACCCGGCATTCGACTGTATCCGAACCATAGCGTGTCTCGCATGCAGAATATTCTCTACCAGTGGGTCTGACTCTAGCCTCATGCAGCTTCGGCATCATGTGTTTCTGGCGGTAACAGAATGTAGACGAGCCATCCCATGTATCTGCCCTGCAGGCTGGATGCAAAGGGCTGCACACGGGAGAAGATAGCGCAGAGTACTTACATGGCTGAGAGTAATGTGTTTAAAATGGGAGGTCCTGCCCCGGGGGACCTTAGCCTCTGCGGTTCTAACGAGGGGCTGGAGAGACAACACCCCCAAATCCCCAGAGACTCAATTCATTAAGGGCCCGCTCACCGGACGCAAAGTGCGCACCCCCATCGATTGCAGAAGGTGCCGCTAGCAGCGCCGAGCAGGCTGGGCTCGCTTCTCTTGCTATCGCACTGCGAGGAGGCGAGGCGAGGCGAACCCTGCAGCGCCAGGCGGCTGCGGAGTCGAAAATGAGATGGCCCGGCGCGAGCCAGCCCTAGGTCTGGCCAGAAGGCAGGAGTTCCTGCACTGTTCCAGGGACCGGCGAGACTTTCCCAGCTTCCCCCCTCCCACCCTGTCTGGGC